TACTGGGTATGAATCCTTTGTTAAATGAATTGCAAATTTCCTCTAAGTCTGTATTTTGCCCTTCATTCTCTTATGGTGTCTTTAGCTGGAGAGAAGTTTTCAGTTTTAATGAAGTCTGAAGTCAAATTTATCAATCATTTTCAAAAGCATAGCTTTCAGAGTTCTTTTTAAAGAAACCTCTACTCACCATTCTTTGATTTGTGCAAAGTATGGTTTGAGCAGTTCTTGACTTTGCTCTAAATTCATGAAATCCTGTATCTCTGCAAGGTTTACCACTGCACACTGCAGTTGGGTTTGGAATAGTTCACAGTGTTTTTGGAATTTAGAGCACTGCTGTGCTATGTTGAGCAGAGGTCAGTTCAGCAAGTAGAGTACCCAATTGTGACTACTTCCATATTATAATGACTCCTGTACAAATATATTAAAAACCAAATGTGGAAAATACCCATTATTCTAGCACTTCAACGCAACCATATTTTATTTTTAATTTTTTAATTTATTATCTTTGACATCATTGTAAATTCCCCATAAAATTCCCACCTACCACCAATTCACCCATGAACCATCATAGTCCCTTGTGCTCTCTCTCCCATTTTTTTTAATTATTTTTTTTTATTTTTTACATCGTTCATTTTTAAACAATATTTGCTCCCCTCCACCTCCTCAGGTGTAGTCCTCATAGTTTCCTTCACCAATGCACCCGCGCACCATGACCTCATTCCCCTGTGCTCCTCCCTCCCTCCCTCTGATCCCTCTCCCTCCTCCTCCCCTGCAGGGTGTCTCTGATTTATAATTGTCTGTTTTTGCTTTGTTGTGTTTTATACTGTTATTATTTTTTTACACTGATGTCTTATTTGGCTCCCCTATATTCCTGCTATAAGTGAAACCATCTGATATTTTTCTTTTTCCTTCTGGCTTATTTCACTGAGCATCATTCCTTCTAGCTCCATCCACGTTGCTGTGAATGGCATGAGTTTCTTTTTTGATTGCTGAATAATATTCCATTGTGTATATGTATGCCACATCTTCTTGATCCAGTCATCTATTTTTGGGCATTTGGGTTGTTTCCAGGTTTTACCTATTGTAAAAAGTGCTGCAATAAACATAGGGGTGCAAGTATTCTTTTGAATCAATGTGTTTGTGTCCTTTGGGTAGATCCCTAGGAGGGGAATTGCTGGGTCATATGGTAGTCTACTAAAAATGGAGCTACCATATGACCCAGCCAACCATACTTTAAATGAGTATCCCCACTCCCTCTGAATGGCTTTCTTCCAATGGCATCACCTTTACACTAGAGCCTGCTGTCCTTTGATGATATAATTAACTTTTCTGTCATCTCAGAAATCAGAAGTCTAGAGGAAATTATAAGCCTGCTTCTGTTATACCATATTTGATCCAAAAACTTCAGGATTTAATAATTTTCTAAAAACCCAGTAAAAAAAAAACTCCATATTCTATCCTTTTCCCTCAATTAGTTAAAAAAAAAAATCACAGATTTTCAACAATATAGTTACAAAAAAAGGGAACACCTTATTCTTCTCAGCAGGTGTCCCCTACCCCCACACCATTATTCTTCAGACCCAATCTTTCATTGTGCTTTTAAAATGTGTATGGGAGACTCTGAACTTTGTTCTGCCACTGTTAATGCCCTGGGCCCTGAATCTTTCCCTCCCCCTCTCTTCTGGAATATGGAAACTACCCGTCACTGGCCTCCTCCTTACACCATCTTTCACCCTGTCACCAGTCACCTCCCTAGAGCATAAAGATGATTATGTTACTCATAATCATGATTAAGACCCTTCTGTAGGTCCAGGTGCCATAAGATACAGTCAACTCTCTTAGGTGAGAATTCACTATCTGGCACCAAACTTTCCTGGCTTCTCTCCAGGAACTGCCGCAGAACTCTAACCCCAGGACACTAATGCACACTCACGCATTCTGACTTCACACTGCTTCTTCCTTTGGCTATTAGAGCTTTCTCCTTTTATCCTGCAATCAGTTCCTCTTCTTTCTTGGCAAGGACTACTGCAGAAGCAACTGTTCCCTTCTAAGTATCCACACAACTCTATGTACTTTCTGCAACTATATTTCAGTCCTTATTACAGTCCATGAGTTAATTATTTATTTGTTTGTCTCACTCACTATTATACAAACTTCTAACAAAACCAGGGGCTTCTCAAAACCAGGGGCTTCTCAAAACCTGGAGTCACTGGACTCCAGGATAAGGTCAGCAATTCATACCAAACACTTGGCAGAGCAATTCCATAAAAGGCTCAATGAAAGAATGAACGCCACAGTCACTTTTACTTGTGTTATCTTTTTTCTATAGAGACTACGAAAATAAGTACAAATATGTCAACATAATGAACTTAACATAAATTTTCATTTAAAAGTAACCCAGCATATTACTCTTTTAAAAAATGTATGAAAATCTTCCTTAATAATTGATTTGTGTTTCCTGTTAGAAATTAGTCACAACTCTGTTTTAAAATGCCTTTTTAAATAATAGGGCATCGGGCCTCTCTGGTGGCGCAAGGGGTTAAGCACTGCTCTATGAAGCAATCTGCAGCCTCTGTAGCACAAGTTCGATGCCCAGCGGACCAGGAAGCTACCCACATGGCGCGGCAGACCTCTCTGGTCTCGCCCGCTGCTCCCCTCAGCAGTGTATTTCAGTCAGTCTGCCTGTTCTGTTCCCCACTCTGTCTCTGGTGGATCCTTTCACCCCCTGCACCTCTGGCCTGTACCCCAGCTCTTGTATGCATTAATAAATTTTAAAAAAATAATAAAATAAAATAGGGCATCAAAGTTAGGATGAATATGCCACCTAATGAAATCAACTGTAGTCATCATCATATAAGCCACTATTCAGTGTCAAAGGGATGAGTCACAGTTATAATTTATACAGGTAAAAGATGACAAACAAAATTTCTTCACTGAAAAATTTGTCCATATATTTTCCCTTAACACATCACACATCTACAAGATACAGGAACACAGTAGGCATGGCGGTTATGAACTGAGGCTGGAATTATGATCCTAGTTATGTAGTTTGGGACAAAAAACTTTAATGTGCCTCAGTTCTCCCTACTTGATAAAGATGATGAAAAGTACTCACTTCACAATCTTCCTAGGTAACTGAGTTAGCACATACAAGACCATTGAAAACCGTGTCTGTCAGAGTAAATCTGCAGTAATAAATGTCAAGTGTTATCGCTGTTTTTAACTTTTTCAAGCCTTCTTACATATATCATCTTTTTCCCTCCTCACAACAGTACAGTGAGATTGTTTATCTGGACAAGAGATGCTATGCCCATTTCAGATCAACTAACAGGTTGATTTCACAAAGATACTTTAAGTGGCAAATAGGAGCTAGAAACCACATCAAAGCCCAATCCCTGGCCAAAGAAACCAACTCTCTGTTGATCCAGTTTGGAAGATTTCTTTCGGGTTTTCCCCATTGTTTCCTCTTAGTTGTCAGCAATAAAGACAAATAGGAGCAAATTAACTACCAAGTTAAAAGGTAGGAGAAGCCTTCTCCCTTTCAGAGTGCCTGACACTAGGTAAACACTCCCAAAACAGCAGCTACTGAAGAATGAACCATGAAGTGCTACTGTGCTTTCTCAATAACAGAACAAGACACCCTACAAAATCAAGCCTGCTACCAAAGTCACTTAATATTATGCTTATCTGTCACATCAAAGCACAAAGTGCTCATAGAAATTTTTAAAAAAGGAAACCATTTTTTGGGCCTTCCTGGTGGCGCAAGGGGTTGAGACACAACCTCTGAAGCTGTCCGCAGCCGCTGCAGCACGAGTTCGAGTCCTGGCCAGGGAGCTACCCACATGGCACAGCAGACCTCTCCTGACTTGCCCACTGCTCCCCTCAGCAGTATATTTCAGTCAGTCCACCTGTTCTGCTCCCCACTCTGTCTCTGGTGAATCCTCTCACTCTCTGCACTTCTTGTATGTATAAATAAATAAATCTTTTTTTAAAAAAAGGGGGAAAACTTTTTTTTTAAACAAATGATTTTCTTTTACTCTTAAAAACATAACTTGCAAAAAGGACTTTCATTCACGTTTAAAAAAATAAATAACCCAACAATTTACATTTCACGACATGATGTATTTTAGCCCAAATAAGAAACTGACATAGTGACAATATTTTATCACTGTAAGACCCTCACCAAAACTTATCCTCTATACCTCCCTGGGTTAAACTGAATCTGATCCCTGTTCTTATCGACAACCACGTGCACATGGAAGAGAGTTAATGATGTTGAAAGGCAGATACAATATCTTGGGAACCCACGTCAACCAGCGCAACACAAGGAAGCAAAACTTATCGATGGCACCTGGAGACCTCTTGATTCTCTTCAAATGGGCAAGCCTTAATGATCAGACTTGACATGAATCCCTGGCTAGGGCCTGCCTTTGCTTTCACTGCATTGACACTCGAGCACCTACAGGTAGGGGTCTTGTGCCTGGGACTCACACAAGGCAGTTCCAGCCCCTGCCCTGGACAACTCACGTCCAAGCTCCGCACCTAGCGGCCACTTGGGACCTTCTGCACACCTGATTTAACAGTGGCAGAGCTCGGCCAGGGTTCGAGCAACTCCCACACCCGCCGCAGTGTGGAGCAGGAAAGTCTTGGGGCTTTTCCGTAAACAGTGGCTGGACACCTGGCCGCCCTCCTCTCGCGACCACTGGCCGTCTCCCACGCGGTCCGCGCCGCCCCGCGGGCCCCGACGCCTCCGCCGGCCTCTGAGAGGCGCTTCCCTGCGCCTCCTCCCACCTGAGCGGGGGACGCCGCTACCTGGGTCGAGACCCCAATTCCTAGTTCAATAACCATTACTGGGGCCGCGACGCCGAGAGACCTGCGGCTCAGCGGGAAGAGCCCGTGCAGCAGCACACCCCCCTCCCTCCGCCAACTCGGGGATCCCCCGCGCGCCGCCGCCATTTTCCCCGCGCCGTGACCCCCACCTGACAGTTCCAGGCTCCCACCTGTGACCCGCCGGGGCCGAAGCGCGACGCCGAGGGGGGGCGCGTGGGCGAGCTGGGGAATCCGTGGGGGTCGCAACCTCTTGGAAGAACCCGCCGCTAATTCATCCCCAGGCGGGGAGGCGTCCGGCCCGTCGCCCTAGTAATGCGTCCCGACAGGCTTCACCCTGATTGGCTGCGAGCGCCGTGACGCACGGCGTCCCCGGCTGCGTGGGATGCCCGGGTCCCCGGCGCCCGCCGCGGCTCCCCTGCGGCGCAGGGGCCCTAGGACGCCGCGCTCCCGGGCCGCCTTAAAGGGGCGGCGCGCGCTTCCGCGTCAGCCTGCAGCGGGGGGACCCGGGAGCCGCGGTTGCGCGCGAGAGAAGCAGCAGAGAGGCAGATCGCGGGGCCCTCGGCCCCCAAAAACTAACAGGCCTCCAACCCCTGGAATTTCAGAGTGGGAAACAAATCTGGGAGGGATTTCATTTGCTCGCAGAGTCAGCGGGGCAAGGCCGCCCTAGAAGCAGGGCTGGAACTTGGGGTCCACGCGCGCAGCACCAAGCACCCCTTAGTCCTCACAGAGTCCAGCCCCAGGCAAACTGCGCCCCCGGACCCTGTCATCCTAGCCCTCTTGAAAGGGATTCATCGCTTTCCCCGCGGGTGTCTCTGCCCTCTAATCTACTACCCTCTAAACTCCTTGCTGGTGGGAACTGTGTTAAAACCCTTTTTATTTGCTGCACAATGCCTCCCTCCCGCTGGCCTGCGGCAAAGGGTCACTGGGGGAAAAAAATCTTTAAAATAATATACAGTCACACATCATACATACAGTTTCTCGTCTGTCACTCTGTGTGTTTGTCTATTTCATTCCTTTATTTTGCAAGGGGGCGGGAGGAGGGATTTTCTTTTTTTGATGCAAGGTCCCTGTTCTCATGTAATATATAGTGTAGTGATAATGAAGATCTTAGGTTTGGGATGCGTAATTTCAATATAACTAAATTTTACCCCAAACTCTCTGAATCGAAAGTTCCTAAATCAACTTCACACCCTTTCTAATTTTGTTCAGAAATGTTTAGCACATTTAAGATGTGCTAATATTGAATTAGAAAATGAAGATAAACAAGGTTCTAAAACCAACTCTGCTAATTATTCGTGTGATCTTAGGCCTCATTTTTATCTTCAAAATGAGATTGCTAGACTAACAGACCTCTAAATTCTCCCTCCCACGCCCACAACAACTTTTCAGGGTTTTTTTATTTTTATTTTTTAAAGATTTATTTATTTATTTATACAAGCACTGGGTACAGTAAGAAGCGCATGAAGGTGAGAGAATTCACCAGACAGAGCGGGGAACAGAACAGGCAGACTGATGAAGTACACTGCTAAGGGGAGCAGCGGGCACGGCAGGAGAGGTCTGTCACGCCATGTGGGACCCTCACTGGTGGCCGGGGATCGAACCAGCGCTGCAGAGGCTGCGGGCAGTTTCTCAGCCCAGCGCTCAACTGCTGCACCACCAGGGGAGGCCCTTCAGGGTGGTTTTTTTTTTTTTTTAAGCTTTATTTATGCATACAAGAACTGGCCACAGGTGTGGGGGTTAAGAGGATTCATCAGAGACCGAGTGAGGAACAGAGCAGGAGGATTGATTGAAGTGCACTGCTGAGGGGAGCAGCAGGTGAGTCAGGAGAGGTCTGCTGTGCCATGTGGGTAGCTCCCTGGCCCAGAGCTGCAGTTAGCTTCATAGGTTGCATCTTAACCCCTTGCACCACCAGGGGTTAAGTTTTTGATGTCAACTTTTAAGTTTTGATGTCACACACCTGGTGGGGGGGGAGGGGAACCCTGAAGGTAGGTTTTGAAAGTGTGGTTTATGTAATGAGTTATCTCTGAATCTCTGTAGCTTCTAGAACTGACCAAGCTTGATATGGAGGAGCCCTGCACATAGTGAATGTTGAATAAAGGTTAACTGCCTTGAATCAATCATCCTGGGTTTTTTTTTTTCTCTATTTCACGTAGTCTTTAGCCCTCCTTGTGGGTGGAGTGGTGTGACCTGAAGGAAAGGATTGAAACTGTGGAGTGTTGAGAGTATTAGCTCTTTTTTACCCAAAATAATTTTGACAACCAGCCCATGTGTGGGTTTGCTAGACCAGCAATTCCCTAGTTCTTTGTGGTCACCAATGGGGTGTCCTACAATGTAATTCACTCCAGACATGCCTCAGAGTTAATGCAGACTGCATAGGTTAAGGGCTCAAGTCTGCCTCCCACCCTTGGGTGACAATTACAAGTCTAAGCTTCCTGGTCTTTTGACCACCAACTAGCTGTAAAACTGGAGTCCCCATGTCACCCTGCTGTGATTCTAATTTGCTAGAACAGTTTGCAGAACTCAGGAAGACATTTAAGTTCTGTTTGCTGGTTTATCATAAAGATACAACTCAGGAAATATCCAAATGGAAGATGCATGAGGAAAGGGGGCTGAGGAATCCTGCAGGATGCGGAGTGTTCATGGCCTCTCTGATCACACAGTTGGTTCCTCTGGCAACCAGCCCTCAGCTTCCAAGAGTTGACTCACTGACATAAACTCAGGTTGAAAGGGGCCTGTTGTTAGTAATGAAAGACCCTCCTATTCCCTCATCACTCAACAAAATGCAGGGATTTATAAATCCTGTGTCAAGAACAAGGGAGAAAGAATAAACATGTATTTTCTATTCTATCACAGAGGTAAGAGGAAAAAACTGCAAGATAAACACAAGGAATATGGTACTAAAGCACCCTGGCTAGAGAGTCTGACAAAACAAAATATAGACCATCGTGCTGCAATTTAGGTAAATGTATGCTGCGGTCATCCAGGAGTTTAGGGGTTCCCCCCCTCCAAAAACTGGATTACAGTAATGCACAATTGACTTCTGAGCTTTTCCTATAGTGTGTACTGCCAGTCTCCCATGATGACCATTCTTGTACTCAAGTTCAATGGGTTGCTTAAAATACGTGAGTTTATAATACAATTGGATCATGAGCATCTCTGAAATCAAAAACTTTACAAGTTAGGTGAATTCCAAAGAAGTAAAGAGTTCATAGTGTACAAAAGACACTTTTGTTCTACTTCAAGCTATAACACTATTAATGATTTATTAACTCTTGATAAAGCAGATCCTTTGCCCTGGGACAGAGGTCCACTAGGTTGAAACAGTTTGTGAGCCCAGAGACCTGATGGAATAGTAATTTTCTTCGATTCTCCCCAGAGAATTTCTCTGTAATAAGGCCCATCACCACTCCTGCCCCAAGCAAAATGACTTTTAAGTAGCACCGAAAGAGTAACTCAAATTCTAACTTCTTGTTGCTAGTTAGGTCATATCGTTTTTCTGATACTCAAATCCCTTCATCTGTAAAATGGGGGGAGTAATATTTCTCTTCAAAATTGTTGCAAAGGAAAAAGAAACTACCTTATAACAAGCTTTTATCTGAGACAGAGAAACTGCACAATGACATGGAGGCCAAGTAGACTTGAATTTGAACACCATTTCTGACACTGAAATTTTGGTTAAGTCACTTCATTTCCCTGCAGTTCCCTACCTGATAAACTTATCTCTTGGGATTGTTGAGCACATTGCCTGAAATAACAGTAGCAACTACCCAACATATATTAAATATTTACTGTGTGCTAGGGACAGTGTAAGCCCTTCACGAGCATCTTTTAATTCCAAGATATCCTGATGGGTGGGGATGAGGCTTAAGAAGGTAAGCTCCTGGCCCAAGGTCTCAAGGCCAGTGGATGGCAGAGTTAGAGATTTGAGTGCAGCTCCTGGTCCTAACTCTGATGCCAACCTGTACTAAATGCTCTTTGGGGATCATTAGCATATGATACAAAGCCACTCATGATATTTGTGCTCACTCCACCTAAGTCTCTAACCCAATCTTTCTTGTCGACAATATTCCAAGCTTGCTTCTTCCAGGATTCTGACCAGTTTGCTAAGTCATTTGCCACTGCAATGTCCATGTACATCCTTCTCTTGACCTAATTATCTCCCATGCAACCGGATGACTAGGAGCACTGGCCTAAATCCTGCCCACAAGGAAGTTACTCTCATTCTGAGCAGCTCTGCAATGAAGTAGCAGTCCACTTTCCTTTTGTACCCATAACCAAGCCTATCAAAACAGGGATAAAGGAAAAGGCAGGAGAAATGCATATCTGAGCCATCTTTTCATGCAACTTATATATGTCCCGTGAGTCTGCTCACACTCAACCCTGATGTGCCACTTCCACTTGAAAAGATTGCTGTTTGGCCCACACCTATGAGCTGATGGGGCTGATAATACCCAAATAATGATGGACGGTTTGGGTTGCCTGGTCAAGTGGTGCCCCATGAGCAGGTTCTTGGGCTCTGTCAGGGTTCAGGAATATGCCAGGAGCTGCTTTCCAGATGTGTATGCTTCTGTCCCCTCGATGGCATGGCTGTGGTCCAGAACCCCAGGGGACTGCACTGTGACTCCTCTTTTGGAACTTGCCAGAGATGCCACATGCCTTTCCTCTGCCACCGATACCTGCAGAAGAGCCGAGGAGCTCTGTATATCCTTGTATACCCTGTATAGCTCTGTATATCCTGCCTCACAGACATCCAGTCTCTCCTTCAGTCCACACGTTCTAGGTTTGAGAATAAATTCAGATCCTGAGACTTTCCATTGGAGTGATGTTCACCTCAGTCTTCTATTCATCCTTTTTTGATCTATTCTGATGATCTGCTTTGCAGTCCCCATTCTATCTTTTGCCTAGAAATACTGTGTTCTGTTAACTATCTCCGTAGGTCAGGTCAGCCTCCCTGTTTGCAATGTGATTGTCCATTATAATTAGGTCACCATTGCTTCTCATAGTTGTCTCTGCTATTGTAGGATCCTTTTCTGAAACAGCGTCTTCCACAATCAATCCTGGTGTATAGTACAAATCCCATCAAGCTTCTGAGGGATGCTGGCACTCCTCATCTAAGCAATTGCTATCCCCTTCATAGTCCTTCAGGCCCTCCTGAAGAATATAGTCAACCAAAAGGACGTCTTTAGTGGGGCTTATTACCTCTGCCTTTCACACTTACACAGAAAGCAGCTCAGTGGTTCCTGGGAAGCGGGAAGCAGAAGGCAGGACGCAGGGAGGAGCAGGAGAAAACTTTCTGGGGCGTGGCTGTGACCATCTCAAC